TGACGGTTGCCAAGAGTGATTTCATCTCTTCTCCAGAAAGTTCGTCGACGGAGGAGTCGAAGAATAAGGAAAACAAAGACAATGGTGCGGAGGAACTCTACTCGAAACATGTCATGTTTGAAAATACAGAATGCGCTTATGCCTGTTTCTTGTTGCAGACTATCGCAGAATTATTATTTTCCTATAAACCAGCCAAAACTGAATTCTTGACGTTTTCGAAGAAGCAAAATGATCAAGTCACAATAGACAAACCGAGAAGCACAGCACTTAACTTGTTGCTGCATCAGTTTATCTCCTCAGATCCATTCAACAACTCTACGTCAACAGAAGTCAAGCGTCGCCGGTTGCTAACTCTTTTGGCGAGCGTCTGCATCGTTGCGTTGGTTTCTTCAACACCAACCAAGGGAGTGGATTACGATGACCCAAAAATCACAGATCCGGATATGTCGTTTGTGAGGAAGTTCACAGCAGATATTATCATCAAGGTTATCAAGGAAGCAAATGCAGGTTCTGACAGTGCATACAATCGGTATGGAAAGATTGTCGACGTTTTAGATCTCACGTGCAAACTTCTTGGTGAGAAATTCGAGCTGAGCGTTTCTTCTGCCATGGACAAGACTGTCACGCAATACGATTCATATTTCCTTGCTCGGGAGCTTCTCGAAAAGAAGCTGCCTATTGCTTTGTCGAATATTCTTGCCGATCTAGATGTCAACTTCCCTCACACCGAGATGATTTCAGGCGGCATAATGCGCTGTTTGTCGTCTCTGGGGTCTATCAAGGTCTCGAAACAGGATCTTTTCCGTGAACAAGGCTCCGGAGATGCTGATGAAGAAGACATCGACGAGGAAGATTTGGATGAGCGTGAAGAGACCCCTGATCTTTTGAGAAACTCTACTCTTGGAATGTACGACCTTGATGATGTTGAAAACGAGGAAGACGAGGAAGACGAAGAAGATTTCCTTGATGGAGACGACATCGAAATTGTGTATTCTGAAGATGAGGACAATGAGGATGAAGATGAGCAGGACAATGAGGACGACGACGATGAAATGATGGAATCTGAAGGGGAAGTCCTGGAAGAGGTTGACGAGGAAGATACTGAGGACTCTGCTGAGAACAGTGAAGGCTCTGTTGGTGACTTACTTGACCGCGGTCAGTTTGTTATCGATATTGTGAGCGGATCTGACGAGGACATGGACGATTCGGAGATGGACGATGAAGACGAAGACGACTACGAGGATTATCCAGAGCATGAAATTGAGCTTCTTGCCGACGAAGACGATTTCGATGACGAGGACGATGACGAAAACGAGGATGATGAGGATATGAACAATAGCGATGACGACAGCGCGATTCTTGAGGAGTGGATTGCTGAGCACGAGAGCAACGAATCGCATCGTCGCGGCTCCCATAACCGGCGTATTGCTTTGCAATCTCGTGCAAATGACTTCTTTGTTGACGAAGAATCATCAAACGATGACGACAATGACATTTTCCATCGCTTTCACTCCAACCCCTTTGATTCAAGAAATGATGATGAGGCTGAGATGCAGCTTCTGGGTGGAACTTCCTTAATCCCGCCATCGGAAAGCTTGCGTGAGTCGGGTGACCGCTCGGGCTCAGTTTTTTTCCATCATTGGATCTTCCCAAGACAAGGCGGTGGAAGAGCACAGATTCTTCCCGTCAACGGTGGAAGACTAACAGATATATTGCGTGCCTTGAATGGCCGCTCCCCTTCACCATCGTCTAAGAAAAACCAACAGGTCCCTAACATATACATCAAGTCCACGGTTCAGAGATGGACTGAAACTGTCGCTCTCTTCTATGGAAAGCATTCAACCAAGTATGCTTGTCGTGTCATCCCGAGTATTGTGAACAGAATCTTTGACAAAAGTATGAAGATTGCCGACGAAGAAAGGCGAAAAGAGGAGGAAAGACAGGAGAAAATTCGTAAGGCTGCCGAAGAGAAAGAGGCTAAACGTAAGGAGGAAGAAGCAGCAGCCCAAGCTCGTGCCGAACAGGAAAGAGAAAGTAGGGCAGCGGATCCTGAGAGAGAACCAGTCTATGTCAACATCGCTGGTCGCGAGGTTGATATCAGCGGAACTGACATTGATCCTGAATACTTACAAGCTTTGCCGGATGATCTTCGGGAAGAAGTTTTTGCACAGCACATTCGTGAAAGGAGAGCCGAGGCCACTACCAGTGGCAACCAAATTCCTGAAATTGATCCAGCGTTCATGGCTGCTCTTCCCGAAGAGCTGCGTAACGAGATCATGCGTGACGAATACCATGCATCATTTGAGAGCCGTATCATGCGGTCTTTGGGCGAAGGGGATGCTGAATTTGACGATGAGGACAATAATGAAATTGTGATTGAAGACGAAGAGGAGGAAGAAGATTCAGAGAAGAAACACCATCAAAAGATTTTCTTCTCTCCGATGGTTGATAAGTCTGGCGTTTCTGCTTTGCTCAAGATGATTTTTGTTCCTCAGCTGTACTACAAGCGTGAAAGCTTTTTCCGCACTTTAGGCTACCTTTGCTACAACAAACAGACCCGGAGCGAGATTATCACAATGTTGCTTTATATCCTTCAAGAAGGAATATCTGACCAGCTTGCATTGGAGGCCACTTACCAACAGCTTTGTCAGAGATCACACACTCAGTCGCAGAACGACCATTTGGCTTCACCCGCCAAATCAGCTCAAACCGCTGTAGCTCCATCTTATAACAGAAGTGGTAGCTTTCCAATTGGCTGCACAACCTTAACCGTCGCTACTCAAGCAATCGATGTCATTCAATACTTGCTTGAAAATGAAAACCACATGAGATTCCACTTTTTGATGGATCAGGACAACAACCCATTAATGAAGAAGTTAGCGAAAAAGCACAAGTGGAAGGACAGTAGTTACAAGTACCCAATTAACATATTGTTAAACCTGTTGGACAATCCTTTGATCAAAGAAGACACTAACCTAATGGATATCCTGTCACGCACTTTCCAGATTGCTACCCGTCCATTGCAGGCAATTCGTTCCAAACTTACTGAAATAAGTGACTCGGACCAAAAACAATCCAAAGCTCCTCAGCTGCCTTTTATTCCAGACAGAAATTTGAAACTGATCATTAACATTCTGGTTGCGGATGAATGTGCAAGCAAGGTGTTCCAGCAGACTATAGCATCGATCCAGAACCTATCCTTAATTGAAAATGCAAAGATAGTTTTCCCTAGGGAACTGTCCAAAAAAGCCACTGCACTGAGTCAAAAGATTGCTGATGACCTCAGAGTCTTGATTGAAGAAATGAAGAGCAACCCTGATAGCGAAGATATTCCATCACTTAGCAATTTCGCTAGCGGATCGTCGGATCAGGCCAAGCTTCTGCGAGTTCTTACCGCGTTGGACTATCTCTTCCAGACAAAGCAAAACAAACCGAACGAGTCGTCTGAGGTGGATGAGTTGAAAGAGCTATACAAGAGCTCTGCTTTGGGACCTCTTTGGGGCGCATTGAGCGACTGTCTGTGCATTCTCAGAGACAACCAGAACTTGACCCATGTCGCCACGATTTTGTCTCCACTGATTGAAGCTCTGATGGTTGTTTGCAAGCATAGCAAAGTCGAAGATCTGCCTGTGAGAGATGTCTTAAGGTACCAGGAGAAGGTATACGATTTCACTAGTGAGCCTATTGAAAGTCTCTTCTTCTCATTCACCGAGGAACACAAGAAGATACTGAACCAGATGATCAGGAACAATCCGAAACTGATGAGTGGTCCGTTCTCAGTGTTGATCAGAAACCCCAAGGTGTTGGAGTTTGATAACAAACGCATCTACTTCGAGCAGAAACTCCATCACGATGATGGTGACAGGCCAACATTACCTGTGAACGTGAAGAGAGATCAGGTCTTTTTGGATTCTTACAGAGCTCTTTTCTTCAAATCTCCGCAAGATATCAGAAAATCGAAACTGGACATTCAATTCCGTGGCGAGCAAGGTGTTGATGCTGGTGGACTAACTAGAGAGTGGTATCAGGTTCTTTCGAGACAGATGTTCAATCCAGACTACGCACTCTTCACTCCTGTTGCCTCTGACAAGACTACCTTCCATCCTAACAGAACTTCCTGGGTTAACCCTGAGCATCTTTCGTTCTTCAAATTTGTGGGAATCATCATTGGAAAAGCTGTTTATGATGGATGCATGCTGGACTGTCATTTCAGTCGTGCGGTTTATAAACAGATTCTGGGCCGTCCTGTCTCCCTGAAGGACATTGAGTCGCTCGATCTTGACTACTACAAGTCGTTGATCTGGATGCTGGAGAACGATATAACGGATATTATTGTCGAGACATTCTCTGTGGAGACGAATGACTATGGCGAAGAGAAAGTCATTGACCTAAAGCCAAATGGAAGGAATATTGCAGTTACAGAGGAGAACAAACACGAGTACGTACGGCTGATTGTTGAATACCGTCTGAAAACAAGTGTTCAGGAGCAAATGGACAATTTCCTAAAGGGTTTCTACGAGATCATTCCAAAGGATCTGATTGCTATCTTTGATGATCAGGAGCTTGAACTCCTTATTTCTGGTCTTCCGGACATAGATGTGGACGACTGGAAAAATAACACAGAGTACCAGAACTATTCTGCATCTTCTCCCCAAGTTCAGTGGTTTTGGAGAGCTGTGAAGTCATTCGATGCGGAAGAGAAAGCCAAACTGTTGCAATTTGCTACCGGAACCAGTAAGGTTCCTTTGAACGGGTTCAAGGAGTTGCCTGGTATGGTTGGGGTTTCCAAATTCAGTATTCACAGAGTGTATGGATCCACTGATCGGCTTCCATCTTCTCATACTTGTTTCAACCAGATTGATCTTCCAGAGTATGAGAGCTACGAGAAACTTCGCGGTTCGTTACTGTTGGCTATTATGGAAGGCCATGAAGGATTTGGCTTCGCCTGAAATATATAAACAAAAAAAATCTGGTACATATTTATTTTATTTATTTTCACTATGGCCAAGAGGCCAGTAGACGACGAAATGGTCGACCAGCGACCAAAACGAGATAAATCCTCAACATCAGAGCAATCAGAGCTCGAAAAAGTGGGCATTCACCCCTTGTTGAGGGGCGCGACAAAAGTTCCTACCAATTTCAATCCATTAAAACACTCACGAAAACGAGAAGGTTTTGTTGTTAACCCGTACATTGACCAAAAAGACATCAAATACTCGCGACCGAGACGAGAGTTCCATCTGAACGAGAAAGGCAAGTATATTGAACGCGCAAACGAACTTAGGCGGCGACTGGAGGAGGAGAAACGGGAACAGGAAGAACAAAAGGCATTGGCTGCACAGGGGCTTACACCAGATGAAACAACGGGTGAACAGTATTATCTTCCCGCTCGGCCACCGGCAATCGAATGGTGGGACCAGCCGCTTCTCAACGAGCGACGGTACGGGGACGAGCTGAAAGTGAAGTATAATGACAAAGATGATCTGAAGAACCCGATAACAGAGTATGTCCAGCACCCGGTTCCGGTGATGGCGCCGTGGGAGAAGCATTTGGCGCCTCCAAAACCACTGTACCTGACAAAAAAGGAGATCAAGCGACTGCGGAAGAATGAACGACAAATGAAGCTGAAAGAGAAACAGGACAGAATGAAGCTTGGACTCGACCCGACTCCCGCTCCAAAAGTGAAGTTGAAGAATCTGATGAACGTCCTGACCAACGATGCAATTAAAAACCCGACTGAGGTGGAGATGCGTGTGAGGCAGGAGATCGAGGCGCGCCGACGGCAGCACGAAGCAGCAAACATGGAGCGCCACGCCAATAAGGAAGACAAAGCCACCAAAATGGCGCGCAAGTTCGAAAAAGACCTGCAAAAAGGCTATTTTTCTGCCGTTTTCGCAGTGCAAAGCCTGGGAAACAACCAACACAGATATAAGGTCAACATCAATGCCAAGCAGCTGGAACTGAAAGGCATGTGTTTGAACCTGGAAAATGGTCAAACCCTCATTATCGTCGAAGGAGGAGAAAGATCAGTGAGCAAGTATAAACGGCTTATATTGCACCGCATCCAATGGAACGTCAAATGCGAACTAGTATGGGAAGGCCAACTAGCCGATCTGCATTTTTCAAAATGGACAATGTATGATTTCACGGACGAAGAGGAAATTCTAGCCTTGCTGGCCAAGTTCAGATTGGAAAACTACTGGACTCAAGCCAAAAATATCATTAATAGCTCCTAAACACTTCTATTTACATTACTCTTCGATCTTGGCTAGCAGATCAGAGTCTCTGAAAATCAGGTATTCCTCATTGCCGACCTTGACATTGGCGCCGCCAAATGGTGGGATAAGAACTTTGTCGCCGGCATTAACGCTCACCTTGGTCACCTCACCGTTCGGGTTCGTAATGCCAGGACCAACGGCAATCACATTGGCGATGTTAAGCTTCTCCTGGTTCTTTTCTGGGATGTAGATACCGGAGGCTGTTTTTTGCGAAGGCTTGACTCTCTGGACGAGAATTCTGTCCAGAGTAGGGATGATCGATTTGGCAGACTTCAGGAAGGACTACGGTGTCAGCAATGGTATGCAGACATACTTACCATTGAGTAAAATTTCTCGAAGTTTTCTAAACTCGGGCCAAATAAAAGTGATCCTGGGCAGTGTGATGTGCATTACGTAATTGCTGACTCACACACGGAGCTCACCTTGGGCCAACCAAAAGAATCCTTTTAGATTATCGATATTTCCAGATGGCTGCTCCTTACGTTATTCTCGGCACCAAAGTCCCATCACACTGGGTAAGTGAGCCATTGATGCTGCTGCTAACACCGTAGCTTGCCATTGGCACCATTTTGACCGTTGTCGGAGGAATCTACATCCCCAAGGCTTTTTCGTCGCCGGCTGCTGCTCCAGCTGCCACTCCAGCCGCTGCCGAATCCTCCGAACCCGAGCTGGATGTTGAGAAGGCAATCAAGTAAGTAAAACCTCTGGATTACTAACGACAGCGATTTCCTTGCATCTGATAAGAAGGAGTAGGTGTGATTAGATACATTCATAAACGTGATACAGTTACGAAATTTGTCAGTAGGGCGCAGTTGTGCCACATAGTAGAGCTGGGCCGTCCGCGTTGGCCTTTATTAGCAGATATTTAGGGTGATTGTCGGGAGATTATTGGGAAAGTGTTCGCTAGCGTTTGCACCCACGTAAGTACTTAGTTGTCTTTTTATTTTTTATAATTAAACTATGCTCATTCTTGCCATCGGAGACTTGCACATTCCTGAGCGCGCAGTGGACATACCGCACAAATTCAAGAAACTCCTACAGCCCACGGGAAAGATCCAGCAGGTTCTGTGTCTTGGAAATGTGACAAACTCGCAATCAACCTTGGATTTCCTGAAGTCCTTATCACTGGACTTCCAGATTGTGAAGGGCGATCTCGACCAGGATTACAATCTTCCGCTTTCGCTAGTTTTCAGTCACGATAAGCTCAAGGTAGGCCTTTTGAATGGGTTCCAAATAGTTCCTAAAGCGGACCCATTGAGTCTGTTATCACAAGCCCGACTGATGGACGTGGATATACTGATATACGGTTCAACCCACAAGGTTGAGGCTTACACGCTTGACGGACGTTTTTTCGTCAACCCTGGTAGTGCCACTGGCGCCTTTAGCACGAGTAAGATGGACCAGGAGGACGTGGATACGGTGGAAGCATATTTAGCAGAAGTGAACGGAAAGAGAGGGCAAGGAGAAGAGAAGAAAGAGACTAATAGCGAAGATAAAGACGGGAACGGTGACAAAAACGAGGAAGAGAAGCTGGAGAGTGGCAAGCCCGAAGAGCCTGTCGAGATCGGAGAGTACATGGACCCCGTTCCCAGTTTCTGTCTTCTGGACATCCAAGGTTCTGTGTGTACGCTCTATTTGTACACATTGATCGAGGGTGAGGTGAAGGTGGACAAGCTGACATATAGAAAAGAGGAGCAGGAATAAAAAGGCACTGTGACGGGCTGGAAAATAGGGCAGCTTCCGCTTCTGTAAAACCTATTGTGCTGCGAGGATTAAAGAAAAACTTAGACCGAAAATTTTTTACTACTCTTTATATTCATCTTTAGATTTGTCAGGAGACGGATGGAAAGATCAATCGCCATTATGATGACCAGAGTGCATTTGGCTCGAGACGGGCCAGTGGGCGTTGTGTCTGCTGGTCTTGTTGATGTGGAAAAAAACACGCTACCTAACTAACTTTGTCTGAATCGTGATGATCTACCATTTCTTCTGTCAACTCTAACGTGAATAGGTCAGCATTCCAGCATATGCATGTACATGTATTCCTCGATTCTACTCTAGATTTCTGACCCCTTCTTCTAGTATACCTTCCAATAGGTCCTCCTCCAAATTATCCTCAACTCCTCCCTGGAATGAGCTCGGCACAAGCTCCGAGAGCACCAGATTTTTCTTCATGTAGTATGCATCCTCCTTGTCCTGGTAGTAGGATTTCTCAATGCTCAGCACCTCAAACTTGAGGGTATCTTTGTATAGATGCAATGCGGCCCTGTTACTCTTTCGAACGTGCAAAGAGACGTACTTTGCGTCGTAGTTCTCGCACAGACTGTAGAGACATTGTCTCATCAGCTTCTCTGCAAGTCCCATGCGCCTATACGTGCGCATCACCGAGAGAGAGGTCACATGTCCGTGGGGGGTTTTATCTTTCGATTCAGGGTCATCATCCATTTTCCCAAGCACATAGCCAACGATCTTCTCTCCTGGAGCAACGTACTGCATGTCGCGTTTAGTCTCGTGCGCCGAAGGTTTATCCTGGTGATCAAGGTCGGGATCGGTGGTCGTCGCCACGAATGATGCCTGGGGCCACGAGAGTAAGTGATACAGATAGTATTTCATGGTGTAGTTCTCCGGCAAGTTCGTGAGGTTGGCATTTTGCATGCCCTCGAGGTCCTCGATCGTGGCCTGTCTGATGGTGATGGCCATGGTTTTTTCTCAAAAAAGACAAACTTGCAATCTGCAAAAAAAAAAAAAAAAAACACCAACCATTATTCATGTCCAGAAGCGCCTCCGGTTACGATCCAGCTGCTGGTCCGCGCACAACAGGAACCACGACAGTCGTCCGTCCGCGGTCGTCGATATACGACAGGAACCTTCATCGCACAAGACACGAGATCAGTGTGTCCAGCTTGAGTTTTCTGTTTATGGAAATAGTGTCGATGAACCTGAACCAGGCAAAAAGCCTGATTGAACTTGAGCGGAAACTAAACAATCTCGGATATTCCATAGGCGCCAAGGTGCTGGAGCTGGCCTCGCTACGCGAAAACTTCAACAACAACCTCACGTCTTCAGGGAAATCGAACATGTCAAAAAGAGAAATCAAGGTCCTGGAGATTCTGCATTTCATCACTTCTGTTATATGGCCTAGCCTTTTTGAAAAACCGGCAGACAATCTGGAAAAATCGTCAGAGTCCAACTCTCAATACATGATCATTGACAATGCTCCTCTCTTGATGAAATATATATCTGTGCCTAAAGAGTATGAAGGACTAAATTGCGAGGCCTTTGTGGCCGGCATAGTGGAGGGAATTCTTGACTCCACATTCTTCAAATGCGAGGTTAGTGCGCACACGGTCCCGTTGGAGGGTCATCTTGGCCGAACAGTATATTTAATCAATTTCGACGAGGAGTTGATCGCGCGTGAAACTCAATAGATGCATGTACCATAGTAACTAGCTTTTCATTCTGATTCCTCAATTTTCTTTGTCTCCCTTTTTTTCTTTTGTTTGGCATGACGACGGTGTTCAAAGATTCGACAAGGCCCAGAAGAGGTAAGTGATAATCACGAAGTACTAATAAAGTGTACAACAGACGCTCCAATGTACTGAAACCAAAGTCTACGAATATTATTACACCTAGAGCAAAAGCCTTTGAGGTGTTGTCTATTTCTCCTGAAGCGTCAAGGGTGATTGGCCAGTCAACTTTGGACGCCCTTCCGGGAGCCAGAACTCCGCCAATGCTGGTGTACAGTTCGAGCTCTGTGCTGAACGAGAACAATCTTTCCGTGACATCTACCCCTTTCAGGGCTCCAATTGTTGAGCTTCCAGAACACTTCGATGATGAACAAGGCAAGGACAGCATGTTTGTAAACTTCCTCAGTCGTTTCGAGCGTAGAAACTCAAGGGCTACCAAAAAAGTTGGTTTTGAAGACCAAAAAGACCAGACAAAAGAAAGAAAGCCCAAGCCATTCAAAAAAATCAAAAAACAGAACAAGTCGGGTTCTGGAGATCTTCTGGGTCTCAATCATACTAACCACCAAGTTACACGATTTCTCGCTATTGACAGAAAGAAGCTCAAAATGTGGACTCGCCGCGAGTTCGAGCTATTCGTGAGTTTCAGAATCACTGGCTGAAGAGCGGGTATTATATGCTCTCGTGGCCCAGTCGGTTAAGGCGTCAGTCTCATAATCTGAAGATCGCGTGTTCGATTCTCGCCGAGAGCAGTCTTTTTTTACTCGTATAAATTTTTTGTCACCCCACAATTACCCTGTAGGCTATGCATGGTGCAAGGCCTATGATGAGCCACTCCCCAGATCGTCTCATTAAACATCAGCAGAAATTATCCCGCCTTAGAAGGGGCAATTTTAGTCTTAGTTGACTAGATTGCTCCCCAAATTTTTTCCCCACTAGCCACATCCAGTGCTGCGAAAAATGCGCATGAGTTGAGTCAGGTTCAATTATTTTCTTAATTCCACAGATTTTAAATAACCAAGATTGCCATGCCTAGCTCTTTTTTCCCGGGTTCGCCAACGTTGCGAACACCAGGATCTCCAACGATCCAGACACGTCAAAGCTCAATTGTTGAGATGCTGTCTAGCCCTCCACCGATTGAACATCTGGAACTCTCCTCTGTGGACAACTCCTTGTCAAGCCCTGGGTCGCCCGGTAGTCAGTCTTTTACATTGGGACAGCAACTGCAGCATCACAGTGGGTCCCACTTGTCCTTATCGAGAAATCCATCCATGTCGAGTTCCAATTCCACGTACCTAGGAGGAACTGCGGTCGAATGGCAACATATTCAGTTGGCCGAGCTTGTTGAACAAAACAAGCTTATCACGATAAGCTCCAAGGTTTCCGTTGAGCAGGCCTTTGAAACACTGGTAAAAAACAACCTGACCTCTGTGCCCGTAGAGGAATACGAAAATGATCCAAATTGCCTGACGTTCGATTACACAGATTTGAACTCGTATTTATTGCTAGTTTTAAACAAATTGAAGCCCGAATCCTTACTGCAGATCAACTATGAGCCAAAGGAAGAGATTCCAGAGCTTATCAAGCGTGCTCAATGTGGAGAACAGGTTCCTGTTTCCTTCGTCATTCGTCTCACAAACAAGAATCCGTTTATTAAATTGCGCGAACAAGACACTTTGTCCACCGTGGTAGAAGTTCTGGGAACTGGCGTTCATAGAATAGCTATTACCAGGGATAATCAACTAACAGGAATATTATCCCAGAGGCGGTTGGTGAAATTTTTATGGGAGAACGCAAGGAGGTTCCCTTCAATGGAGCCCTTGCTCAACTCGTCCATCCAGTCTCTCAACATTGGGTCTTCCAATGTCATCAGTATCTACGGCGACCAACTATTGATCGAGGCTCTAGTCAAAATGCATGATTTGATGATTTCGTCTTTGGCTGTTGTTGACAGAAACAACCAGCTCTTGGGAAATATCTCGGTGACCGATGTCAAGCATGTGTCCAAATCTTCCAAAAGTGACCTGCTTTACAAATCCTGTTTGCACTTTATCTCCGTGATTCTGAACTCCCGTGGCCTTGAAAACGGTAAGGATTCATTTCCGATCTTCCATGTGACCACGTCGTCGTCTCTTGCTCGCTCAATGGCCAAGTTGGTGGCCACACAGTCCCACCGTTTATGGATTGTGAAACCGGACACCCAGTCCTCGATATCATCCGCGTCCTCTGGTCAGGCACCTCCTGCTGAGCCAAAAAACATGTCTCAATCTTCGTCGTCAATTTCCATTCATCAACAGCCTTCTCCTGTCTCAGAGCTTGGTGAATCCTGCAGTATGGGCAGACTGGTAGGAGTTCTTTCTCTCACTGACATTTTGTCCTTGCTGGCTAAGACGTTAGGAAAGGAGCACGTTGAACCATCGATTGCACGCAAGCAAAGAAGAAGATCCAGCAGCAGCGCCAGCAGCAGAACCACCTCTTCACTTGAGATGTTTAGAAAAACCGTCAGTGACCCTGCCGATAGATGAGTCAGAGTGCACTGTGCTTTGCAACCTGATGCTTGGTACTGGTCTGCTGGGTACGTTATATAAATTATAATATACATAAATTATTTGCTCTGCTGTGTGTGTCTGCGCTTTTCGGAAGACGGCTGAGGCAGGGCTCTTTTTGTTGGCGATGAATGCGGTGTTTTGCGATTTTTTACTTCGCTCAGGGGCTGGTTGATTAGTCTTTGCAATTCGGGAAGTCCCGGCACAGGCTTTCGTGATTCTGTGGGAGGAGGCAGCACTTCCTGGAGGTTCGATAAGCTTTTTTTAATCTGGCCCATTGTCGATTCAAGTTCTCTGTTTGACGATTGTAGCGATGCATAGGAAGTAAGTATCTTGTTTTGTTTCTCGGACTGTTCGACCACGTCTGTGTTGGTAGCTGCTACGGCATTGTTCAGATTAGCCAGCTTGGCTTTTTGGTAGTTCAGATACCCCACATTGGCCTCCAGATGCGACTGAAGAGAGGTTGCGCACTGATCTACCGATGACAGCACCTTAGCGTTGCGGTCTGCCAACGTTTCTGCAAGGGTGCAATTTTTTAAGGCCCATTTAGTCTGCTTCTCGGAAATTTTCTCCTTGGTGGAATTGAGTACCATTTCAATAGTTGTTTGCGTCAGATTCTTGGAAAATTGCGAAAACTGATACAAAATCTGAGATTTCATATCTTCTATCATCTTCTCTGATTCCGCGGTCACATTTTGCACGATAGGCTTATCGTCAAAGACAGTTCGTAGATAACGATCAAACTCGGCATCGTTGTTTTGTGACTCGCTAATTCCTGATCTAAGTAAGGTCAGCTGGTTCTTGAGCTCACTGAAAACTTTATCCAGCTCGCTTCTGAAGGTACGCAGCTCTTCGGTTTTTTCCAGTATTCGGTTTGTAAGCAATCGCTGTTCTTTTCCAATGGCTTGCAACTGTTCAGAAATCTTCTCACCCATTTTGGCGACACCTAAATCGTCCCCATTTTGCGTTCTTCTTGCGATATGTTGCATCACAGGCATGATCATTTCCTCAAGCTTCTCATTCAGCATTCTCTGGTACCGGCTCTGGTTTTTCACCATTTCCTCTGACTCCTGGCTACAGTGCTCAACGACTTGCTGTGTTAGTTTGATCACATTCACTTCGCGCGATCGCTGACTCTCCAGCGCACTTTCGAGCTGGGAAAGCCTTTCTTCCATGGCTTTCATACTCTGTATGCTCTTGAGCTTTTCCTTTCTTTCATCTTCCAAAAGACGTGCGTTCTCGTTGGCCTGCATCGTCAACAGCTCGCTCTGGCGTCTTAGCTCCTCGGTCTCATTGGTCAGGTTCTTGTAGTTAATCATGAGCTCATTGTAGTTGGACTCGTTCAAGTACACTCCTTCCTTGTTCCTTGTGGCCTTCAAGTCCAGCTTCAGACGATAGTTTTCATCGACAAGCTCTTTTAGTAGCACTTTGTCTGATATTAGAGGCCCTATCTGTGCCGTATTCCGGATATCCTTGGCCTTGGTAGCGTAATCCAGAGTACTAGTGGTAGCCTGCGTATCGACGCCAGCAGGAGAGATGTTAGCAACTAACACAGTCTTTGTCTTTCCTCCAAGAGAGTCCTGCAGCAACCGCGTCAGTTTAGATTCCCTGTACGGAATATAACTGCTCTTGTCGACTAAGGCATTGATAACTCTGCCCAAGGTGAGCAGCGACTGGTTAATGGAACCAGCCTCCTTTGCACGCTGGTTTATCGCCCCTGACCTGCTGATATTCTCGGACCCAGCCAGATCCACAAGGTTCATCTTGGCATACTGGTACTCTGAGTCATTTTTCTTCTGGATCAGTGTGATACTAAAGATTGTGTGCGAGCGACTGGATAAATCGTTCATCTTGGTAGCTGCCGTTTGGCGACGTTCCAAGCCCTTCTTCAAGAGCTCCAGACCCTCGCCGGCCTTCCGAATGTGATGCTCCTCGAGACCGTCAATCCTGATACCGTTTCCGCATGAGTTCTTGCGCTCAAATATGCGAAGACGCGTATTTTTTGTATCACCAAGTAGGTCTTTCAGCTCTTCGTTATAAATCTCAATGAACGAGCATTTGATCATAAAGTCATCATCCACGCATTCAAACAGCTTGCAAAGCACGCGTGGCACAAGCCCTGCGTCTCTTCCGGGTTCCTTGTCGCTGATGTCTCCACACATCGTGTACGTTTTCCCCGATCCAGTCTGGCCGTAGGCAAGGATCGTGCAATTGTAGCCCTTCAGGAACTCGCTGACAAGTGGTAGCCCTACATCACGGAAAAACACTGATTGATCGGCCGCAGGACCAAAGGCTTGGTCCACGGTGTAAACTCTGGTGTCTGCAACTTGACTGGTGATGAAATCCTGCGATGTGTTCACACTGACCTGGTTTGCACCTGGCTGATCCGGAATACGTACCACCACAGGGCTTTTCATCTGCAATTCGCGCTCATTTCGTCCTCGACAGCGCACAATAACGCTGATGGACTCGGTAGACATAAAGTAAACAATAATATTTTTGTTTCGCGTACGATACAAATAAAATAATGATGAATATTTTTCGTTCTAGGTGAAGAGAAACGAGAACTCAGTCTTTGTGAAAAATTGCTGGTCATAGCTTTCGTCGAGCGTGAACACCTTTCCGGAAGTATTTTTGTACCGAAGCTGTCGCTGCGTCCAAATCTTTTTCACCTTGCTAATGTACATTCTGACACTCTTCAGTCCAAACGCTAGCAGCGTATGCAGCAGACAGTCTACCAAGACTTTGTCCACAGCATCGATGCAGCAATAAGCACACATAATTAAGCACCACTGGAACATTGCGATACGGTGATCCATGTCAATGATCACGAATTTATCGAAATCCATTACTTGCAGGCTCGAGATGTGCTTTTGACACAGCGTCTCCAACTCTTCGTCGTCGAGGAAAAAACTGCTGGCGCTTTCGTTGAATCGAGGTTTTGCAGTAGTTTCTTCAAGCATGATTGGCGAGTTGTAGTACCTTTCGAGGTCCGCCAGGTCCTTGTGCTTTAGCTGTATAAAGAAAGAGCACGATTGCAGTACCTTCTTCAGCAGCCGCTGAACCACAGGATTGCTAACCTTGCAGCCCAGGAATTGTTCGGACGTCAAAACATATAAATACAGTGTTTCCAGCCGGATGTTCTGGGTGAAATCGTAGAATGAAAACCAGCTGTACGTCTCAAAGTCGCTCTCTAAGGACTCTGAGCTCATGAAAAACGCGCGCAGTTTTGCAGATGTCACATGGTAATATCCTGAAATTGAGAGTCGCGTCTTGTCGGCACCCTTGTATAAAGGATGGTATTTCGAATCGATTGGAATCATGTACGGCATCTTGTTGGTCACGACTCGAAATTGCTTGGCCCTGTCTATCACTGAAAAAATGTGTGCTATGGTGAACGGATCGATCTTCTCGTTCCGTTTCGCAGCCACAATCTCCTTCTCCACCTCCGCCGTGCCATCACTGTACCCTAGATACATCTTGAATCCGCCCTCGCAGAACTTGTCGCCAATGTATCCGTCTGTAACCATTCCCATTTTGCTGAGCTTAGGGAGCGGTCCGTGATTCAAGGGGATTGGAATCCAAGTAGTCAGCTCGTCCAAGTCCAGGCTGCTTGCACCGGCAGAGGCTATTCCTGAGGATATTTCCATGGAACAGAAGAGGTAGCGTGCAAGAATTAGCGAGTCAGAATCGATGCTCTTTTCTCCCATGAATTTCCCAAGAAATTGCTTTGCTCCGCGAAGGTGCAACGACCAGCGATAGTCTCTGTTTGAGGACAAATCTGCCGCAAGAATCAAACTCGTGAGCAGCGCAGGCTCCACCTTCTCGTCCGAATTATTCATGTTTTCCAATATATCCCTGAGCGACTGAAAACAGATGGAAAGATAGTGCACGCGGTATTTGTCGTTAATATCGATCTGAGTGTCGAGCTCGGCAATGTAGCTCTTGTCAGCTTGGGCACCAAACTTTGCCAAATGGATGTCCTTGTCAATTCGCGCTTTTTCGGTGAGAAACCGAGCCCCAGACGCCAACATTGCGTTGAGTAGATAGTTACTTTTTTGTGCTTCTGCTAAAAAAGTGACAATGAACGGTGAGTCCAGGTAGGAAGTCGCCAAAGGAAACAGAATCAGGTGCACATCCTTCACAAAGGCCTGTAGATGCAGTGATTCGGAAGCATTGATATGCAGCGAGTTAGCGATCTTATTCAGGTCTCTCTCATCGAAGCTTTGCCTAAGATTGTATAGGTAGTCATAGCGAAGCACCGAATCAGAAGTCGACAAGTTACCGTCTGGAGCCTGTCGTGCTCTATTGTTGAACTGGAGACTGGAAAAGTCGTAGTCTGGTAACAGGGACTGAAGATCCGTGGCGTTGTTATCATTCTCGAAATATTCCGAGAGGCCAGCTATTCCCCCAAAAAGCATCTCCTGGTTCGCCAACAGATTCGAAAGCCCTTCAGTGACAGACTTTCTCGTGTCATCATTCGACTCCGGCTCAGAATCTGGCTTCGAATGAGGCACGTGCGGGGTTTCGGGCTCCGGGTTCGTAGACCTTACTCCTTGAAATTTGAAGACTCTATAATAAATGCACTCTGCGCCGATTTTGGCACATCGTCCGCAGGTGGGGAAGGTTTCATCGCACTTTACCTTGCGCTTCTTGCAGGCCAGACATCCATTTCTTGAGTATTTCTGGCGCTTTCTAACAGGCTTCTGTTTTTCTGGGGCCATGCGATAACTTGCGATAAGGAAATTTTTCCGAGCAAAAAGATAAATAAATTCCAATAAAAAAAAGTATAAATATAAAAGCTCTAGCTCTCTACTCTTGATCACCAAATAAGAAGTCAACGATCCGGTTGTACCAGCGTTTCACCGGCTTGCCGTTGATTTCTATCATACGGGCCAAGTGTCTCTCGTGCGCCTCGACCTCGTCAAGGCCACTCACTAAATCCGCGTCCATCGGATTCACGTATTTGGTGCGCTTGAGAATCTTCCAAAATAGGAATAATCCTGCATCGATGAATATCATGAGGTAGCAGAAGAGGAACGTCTCCACAGACCAGTCTCCAGGCAAAAACACCTCGTAGCCCTGCACCCAAACCATGCAGAAAATAGTAATGAAGGCTGCGATAGAAATGTATGGCTGCCACCATGCCTTGAAAGGAAAGGCCTCTCTGTCAATGCCCTGCTTCGAAACTGCTCTTCTGAAGTGCAGATAGGTAACAAGAATACTCAAGAAATTGATCATCTGGGAAGCTGTCACGAGATTGACTATCCAAGAGAGCACAGTAGCAGAGTTCTCAGACAGTTGTAGGAAGGCAAGGAATCCCCAACACAGCGACAAACAAACCGCGTAGATTGGCACACCGGCCTTGTTGCAATGCGAGAAGATCCTTGGAGCTTTACCTTCCAGCGACATTCCGTAGAGACTTCTGGAAGAACAGTAGGTGTACGAGTTGCCTGCAGAAAAAGCGGCCGTAAGTAGCAGCCCGTTGACGATGTGCGGGAGAACTCTCACCTTTAGGTTGCTCATGGCAATGATATAAGCAGAGGCACCGGCACCTGCAGTTCCCTGTTCGATGGCTGCCACCAACTTAGGGTCATTCCAAGGACACACAGTGCCCATGGCAAGACTTCCTCCAACGAAGAAAATAGTCAGTCTGTAGGCCACCTGTTTGAACGCGGAGGGGAGAATCTTTCTTGGATTCACAACCTCACCAGCCGACATGGAGACATATTCAGGTCCGGCAATCAGATACGAGAAGGTAATCACGGCTCCCAAAAAAGCTTGGAAGCGGCCCAAGGCACCCGTGTGGATATATTCGGCGATTGGCGGTTGCCAATTACGGAATCCATACACGTCGTGAAGAGGATTGCCTCCCACCATGGTGACGAAAGTGAACATCATGAGTCCCAAAGCCAAGATCACTTTTCCGATCGACAGCCAAAATTCGGTTTCTCCGTAATATTTCACCGCACTGACGTTGATCAGAAAATACACAGCCAACTGAAGTGCAATAGGAATGGCAGGAGAGTAGTCGTTTCTCCAGAAATGGATCAGTGTGTTGAACAGCGTGAGCTCAAATGGGATCAGCGCACACTCAAGGACCCAAAAGTTCCATCCCGTCATAAAGCTGAAAGCCTCGTCGACACATCTCTCTGATAATCTGATAAAAGGCGATGGGATTGGTAAATAGCACACCATCTCTGCGCAGGCTGCCGTGACAGCCAAAATAGGCAGACTCCAAACCACACAGCCCAAAAATAGAGCTAGTGGTCCGCTCTTGTGGAGCTGCGTTGACAGGTTCACAAACAAACCGACACCGATAGTGCCTCCAATACCAATAAGCTGGATGTGCCTGTTCTTCAGACTTCTGTGGGTGTGGCCGACATCATAGAGATCTACCTCAGAGGAGATGTCTGTCTGCAACTCATAGTTAACAATGTTCTTTTCGTCCTTCGCCGGTGGTCCGTCAACAGGAGCAGAAGTGGATGTCGCGATCTCGACGGTTCTGCCCTCCTGGGACTTTCCTGTAGGCTTCAGAGGAGGAACGGGGACGAAGACGTCTTTCAACAACTGGGTTACCTTCGACATGAATCAGTTTAAGATGAGAAAACGTGACAGTAAGGACCCTTGGAAATATTTTCGCCACGTCCCAAGACCTTATATACTTCTGGACGTCTGCAACAGGGAAGTTGTGGCTGCTTCAAGTTATGATGTCCAACTCCGCTTATGAATTGTCCTTATTCGATTCGATGAGGTATTTCGTCACTGATAAGGGAATTACGAGATAAGGCAGGATTTTATCACTGGAGAAAAGTTGAATACTTTGGGCTTCTCCGCATTGCGACGTCTTTTTCCAGATGGCATATTACGTAACCGCGCAAGAGGAGCATGACTCTGGCCAGCGGTGGTCCGTGTTTTGCAAAATCTTGGCAAGGACCCACAAACACTGCTCAGCCTCTGGGAAAGCTAGTATATGTAGATGGGTGCTAGTCTACCTATTCTGCATGAGATAAGATGCGATGTGCACATTTCGCAAAATTCCGGCGAAATCTCGGAAACACTGCTCTGCGATATCTGTCAAACTTCCAAAATCGGAAACCAAATCGCGAAATTGTCGAAGCAACCAGTCGACCATATGGACAGCAACGGCCATTGTTGCGATGGCTTCGGAACTATTCCGACACTTCCCACTTCTATATAAACAAGATTGAGCCTTGAAGGTGTCCTCACGAGTACAATGTCTGAGCTTCCAAAAACCGTTCCTGCTACATGGTACACCAGCGACAAGTTCATTGAAGCTGCCAAGCACAAGATCTACAACAAGGGCTGGCACTTTGTGTCTGTTGTTAACGCGTTTTCCATGCACCCTGAGCTTAATGACGGGCAAAAAGAGGCGTTGCAACTCGATTTTGTGGGCAACCCTTTTTTCGGGCTGTGTGACGTTGACGACCCGTACGCGGTCAAGAGTCTCAACCTGCGCTACGGTGTGTACAAGGATGTCGTCGAAGGCTGTGCTAGTGAGGAAGAGAAAGCTGCAAAGATCGAAAAGCTAGAGCCCGTCAATCACGTGGTCACCAAGGGCGGGCTGGTGTTCATAACCCACGAAAAAACCCCTTCGCAGTCTCTGGAGGAATATTTTGGCAACGAGCTTGGCCAGTTTATTGATAACAAGGATTTTAGAAGCCGCACGCTGCGCCGCAGACTTGTCTACGAGTGCGACTACAATGTCCTGACCTTCATTGACGGCTACCAGGAGTGTTTGCACTGCCAGTATACACACCCTGCGTTCAGCAAGGTGTACCCGTTCGAGTTCTACAAGGTCGACACCCACACCAACTTCTGCCGCCACCACTGCAATCCTGTGGGCAAAAACAACGATGCGGGACTATTTTTGTATTTTTTCCCATCGTGCACTCTGAACCAATACGGGGGCGGCATGGGAATTTTCCGCGCCAATCCAGTCAACGGTAATAAGACGCGCATGGAGTTTGAGTATTTCTTCGACGGCAGCGACGAAGACTTCGAGGAGTACTTCAAGTTCGCCAGACAGGTGGCGCTCGAGGACATCTGGCTGTGCGAGGCCGCGCAACAGAACCTGATTAGTGGGGTGTACCAACGGGGCTTGCTACATCCTAAAAAAGAAGTCGGTGTGGTTTACTACCAGTCGCTGGTTCGTGAGAGAATTATGGCTTAGTTAGCGTGGAGGTCTAAACTCGCACTGTGCGGCAATCAAACGCGACGTGGTGTACTGCACCTGAGTGAATAAAAATAAATTCCAATTCGATAGCAAATATTGCTGTAATAATGGAGTGACAAGTTTTTCTGCCGAACCTAACCAGCCCGGGTTTTTTTCACAATAGAGAAAAAAGGACTCGATTATTCGATGCTGCTGCAAATCACGCCAGACATAATAAGTCACCCGTTTACTCCGCAATTCTCCCCACTGATCATTTTCAATGGCTGTGAACGGCTAGATCGTTGACCAGTGCGTCCCGGACCTTACGTGCCGAAGCGGAAATTAACCGGCACCTGGTTGCAAAAGATTATGCTATATAAAGCACAATATCCTAGCTCCCTATTGTCAATGAAAGGTTTACTTTATTACGGTACAAACGATATTCGCTACTCCGAGACGGTCCCTGAACCGGAGATCAAGAACCCAATCGATGTCAAGATCAAGGTCAGCTACTGTGGAATCTGTGGCACCGACTTGAAGGAATTTACATATTCTGGAGGGCCTGTTTTCTTCCCTAAGGCAGGCACCAAGGACGCGATCTCGGGATTAGCGCTGCCTCTCTGTCCTGGACATGAATTTAGCGGCACAGTGATCGAGGTGGGCTCGGGCGTCACCAGCGTGAAACCCGGTGACAGAGTCGCCGTTGAAGCTACGTCGCATTGTTCCGACAGATCGCGCTACAAGGACACAGTGGCCCAGGACCTTGGGCTCTGTATGGCCTGCCAGAGCGGAGCTCCGAACTGCTGCTCGTCGCTAAGCTTCTGCGGTTTGGGCGGTGGCAGCGGCGGTTTTGCTGAGTACGTCGTTTACGGCGAGGACCACATGGTCAAGCTGCCAGACTCGATTCCCGATGATATCGGAGCACTGGTTGAGCCTATTTCCGTTGCCTGGCATGCTGTTGAACGCGCTAGATTCCAGCCTGGCCAGACGGCCTTGGTTCTTGGAGGAGGTCCTATCGGCCTTGCCACCATTCTTGCTCTGCAAGGACACCAAGCTGGAAAGATCGTTTGTTCCGAGCCGGCCCTCATTAGAAGGCAGTTTGCACAGGATCTAGGTGCCGAGGTCTTTGATCCTTCCACTTGCGACGACGCAAATGCCGTTCTTAAGGCTATGGTGCCAGAAAACGAAGGATTTCATGCAGCCTTCGACTGCTCCGGGATTCCTCAGACATTCACCACCTCAATTGTTGCCACCGGTCCTGCTGGAATTGCCGTCAACGTGGCCATCTGGGGCGACCACCCAATCGGATTCATGCCAATGTCTCTGACTTATCAGGAGAAATACGCTACGGGCTCCATGTGCTACACCGTCAAGGACTTCGAGGAAGTTGTCAAGGCCTTGGAAGACGGTCTCATATCTATGGACAAAGCACGTCAGATGATCACAGGCAAGGTTAATCTAAGGGATGGAGTGGAGAAGGGCTTCAGACAGCTGATCGAGCACAAGGATACTAATGTCAAGATCCTGGTCACGCCGAGCGAGGTGTCCTGACTGATGATATACATACATCATGCATAGGAATGTCCTAGAGCCAGTGCTTGTGTGTCTGGACGATTAGGTGTCTGTTAGCATTATGGTGGCCGGCTCCCGGGAGACTAGGCAATGATTTACATATGGCCTCGATTACGTAACATGTGCCGAGCATTTAATTATTCTGGTTTCTTTTCTAGCTTAGTTGATTGTATGTTTCTTGAGCAGGAGGAGATTCTACAGCAATTTCAGAACATCTCCAATTGCCAAATCCCTGTGTCCGAACAGATTGTATTGCTAGAGTCTGTGAACTGGAATTTAGAGCTTGCATTGATCCAGTACTGGCAGTTGTATCCAAGAAGGGCGAACTTTGAGAGACGAGACGTGAGCATGGCAACGGAGAATTCATCCAATAGCGCACCCAATCAGCGACGCTGGTTTTCCTCGTTCTTCCAGAATCCGGAGCAGACATATGTGCCTCTGGTGCCAGGGTCTTTCCCGATCATGGAAGAACGACAGCCCTCAAAGCTCCACAGAATGGCCAATACCGCTTTCAAATGGCTGCTAGACCAGCTAGTGTTATTTGTTGTTGTGCCGTTGTACGTTTTACTTCGCATAGTGGGGCTCGCATTGCTTGTCGTGATTGGCGGTATCGTTCCGATCATCATGAAGCTGCATCCGAATAGGTACCATGTCATTCGCAAGAACGCCGATCCCGCTGATATGGCTCGCCGATTTATTGTCAGCTTTGACGATATGATCGGGAACGTGTCTCGCGGAGACGCAGATGAGGAAGAAACTGAGGACTTGATCAACCAGGCTGACACGATGGAAATCCAGCGCCCCGATTTCCTTGAATGTTCGTATTCGCACGCATTGCATTTCACTAAAAAAGATGCCAGATGGCTCCTACTGTATATTCACAGCGAGAGTCACCAAGATACTAAGAACTTCATTCAGGACGTGCTGACAAATCCTGATTTTCTCCGATTCATTCGTGAGAAGCAAATACTTATATGGGGCGGAGACATAAAAGACAGTGAAGCATATCAAGTGGCCAATCAATTCAAAGTGACTCGACTTCCCTTCCTAGGAATGTTGTGTCTTACGGTCAACGAGACGCCAACAGCCTCAGGAGTGCAACAGTCGGATCCGATTCTGTCTATGGTTTGCAAGATTCAAGGATATATGCCTTGTGCTCAAGTGCTTGCCAAGTTGCAGAAGATTTACAACAAATTCAATCCCAAGCTGGAGGGCATCCGTGCAGATATACAGCGTCTCCATAACGATCGCCAGACACGTCAACTGCAGGATCAGGCTTACGAGAACTCGCTTAGAAGAGATAGAATGCGCAGGATGGAAGAGGCCCTTTTACAAAGAGAACGGCAGGAGCAGGCACGAGCTGTCACTTTGAAGGAGAAGTGGTTGAAATGGAGAAAGTCTACGTTGTTGCCAGATCCAGAGCCCGCAAATGCCGCACGAATCGCTATCCGTCTGCCGGACGGGAAAAGAATTCGGCACAATTTCGACAAAAACGCTAAACTTGAGGAAATCTATGCTTTCGTCGAATGCATCCATTTGAACAACGTGGAGATTTCCGATTCTGACACTCTCGAAAGGCCTATTGGCTACGATCACCAGTATAATTTTGATATCTATACAGTGTATCCACGAGAGAAAGTTGTCGTGGACGACGAGTTGAGTATCGCCGAATCCGGGCAGGTGTATCCTGATGGAAACTTGGTTGTCGAGCTAAATAGTGAAAATTAATGCTTCAATTGTGAGTTTTCTTAGCCCGTTTCTTAGCCTTCTTCTTGTCTTTCTTTTTCAGTCCTTTGAGTCCGCTTTTGAGAATATTGGCATACTCGTTCCAGAATGTCTCCAGCTGATTAGGTGCGATCTCCGTGCTCAGCTTCACTCTTTTAGACTTGTCCTTATTGCCATCAGTCACTCTCACCAACACCGAGTACGATTCTTTGCCAGATCCAGCTGCACCTTCAATATCCTTCGTGATGTCATACGAGAGTCTCTTTTGCGTGATGTATATGGAGTTGCCGTTGTTCTTTTCAAGCAGCGCACTCGCTTGTTTTAGAAACTGGCGTTAGCAATACCGTGCTTGAGTTCTTACCTCCTGGTTATCTAACCTCGTCATGATAAATATATTTATTTATTATATATTACTTTGTCGACTATTTTCGCGCATTTTTTCAAGCTCTATACAAAGCGATCATCTGAGAAGCCATTCCATTCGGAACACCATAAATCGGGTCCAACGAGCGCACTTGGTTCACATCTAAAATGTCTGTTATGCTTGGATCTGCGATGCGGTGTCCAGTGTACGTTCCATCCTTGTACTCTTGGTAGTGCTGCGTCATGCTCAATCCGCAAAGGACGTAGTTCGTATGATAAAAATCTGCCCGGGTAGACGGCTTATCCCGCAGACCTGCAGGCTCATCCTGGCAACAGCAGAGAATGTAGTTTTGCAGCTGAATTCGGTTAAGAAGGTCTCTTTGACCGGTCGCAATTTCGAGTAATGGCGTCAGCCCGCCGGCCCAATGACTGTAGCATCCGTCAACGAGCTTGTTTGTGCGACCGCTAAGACCTCCCTCCACGTTGTACTGTCTTTGAACAGTCCAGCTGATCAGATTGTCTAAATCAATCACAGATGGTAGCTCCGTGGGCGATCTCAACATCGACAATGCTGCTACAGCGCAAAAAGTGTACCCTCCGTGAGCTTCATCGCCAGGATAGCCTGAAAACCCACCCTCGTACGTTTGGCAGCTGGCCAGCCAGTCAATCGTCTTGTACGCAAGCTTGTCGTCCAGAATATCCAGAAGAGAAGCGACACAGATCGCACAGTAGACGGCTCTGGTGTCTGCTTCTCCATTGTAATGCATGATGAAAGAGCCATCAGGCTGCTTCATCTGTAGCAGCCAGTTGTAAATTTTGCGCCTATCAAGCTGGGCAGCAGCATTATAACTTTTGCTCACTGTTAGAGCCAACAAGCCGGCATAAGTCGCGGCCAGGTGGGCCATCTGACCACTTCCTCCACCAATCGCCCCCGTTTCGGCATCCACGCATTCAAGAATTTTGTACCCAACTCTTTCGGACAGCTCTGGATCAATTTCCTCGCCCAGAAGGGCCTTAGAGTTCACAAGCCAGTAGACGATCCATGGCTGAGAAGCGTCCAGAGCTGTAAATGGAGCGGGCAACGGACGGCTCAAAAATGCGTTGATGTACTTGGAATGGCTCTTACTTCTAAGAATGGGGAATTGGCTTTTATCTTGCCCTAATATGTCTTCATATATTTTAAGGATGTCCATTTCGACCTCCATTTGGCTCTCTATCGTTTTAGAGGCCGGCTCCTTGATGCGGAACTCATCCACCTGATCACTTGCCGCAAGCAGCTCTTGCAACTTATCGTAGTTCAAGGTTCTCTGAGCCATATGCGATAGATAGTTTGCAAGAAACCGAACGCAGGCCGCTTTCTTTCTTCTCATACGGATGTTTCAAAATTTATTCTACCTGCACAGCCGTGAAGTTGAGACAATAATTCACCCCAACCTGTGGGAACTACCCAGATCCACAGTGCATGGGCCCTTCTGCGATAACCTGATGCTGATTGTATATATTTCGGGCTGAAGGGTGTCAAAATGAACGAAGTAGCCATACTTTTCGCTGATTTTTTTGTAGTCCTTACGGAAATAGGTAGCTGACACTGAAAAATCGTATGCAATGGGGCTCCTGATTCTTATTGCAACGCGGGAGGGTTTCAGAACCACAAACTGGTATTTGTAGCTTTCTGAGTCTCGGAAAGTCTTTGCTTGCGTAAATAGTCCCAGACTTGTGGACAGTCTAGTCATTGTCAGCGGGCTTTCGCTATTGACGATTAATTTGAATCGGCCAAGAGTTGACGGATCCTTCGTGGATACTACGGCGATGTATCTTGACTTTGGACTGAGGTTGGTCTTGAAGATAAATCCTGATTGGTCGTACTCAAGTCGCTGGCCGGCCACAAGGGTTCTTTCGTCGAACTTTGTGAGGAAACTTTCTGAAGTCTCGAATAGTAGGACATTAGCCACGCTGTTGGAGTAAAGACCAATTTCGGTCTTCCCGAGCGCACCAGCAATCTCAAATTGTGGATTGTCAATGTAAGTGGAATGCAACCAGCTGCCTCCAGCTGTCATGGGCGTCCATTGATCTGACACTTCTTCGATGTGTTTGTACTTGAATGATGGTCTTCCTACCGTCAACTTGTGACCAGAAAAAAAATGCACAGAGTATCTAATTGAAGACGTACTATTTGCAATGAGCACGCCGGTCGCGACTTGACCTGGATTGAGACGAAGCTTTGACAATACAAAACGTGATCTGTTCGTCGGACTTTTCAATATCCGCTTTGCGCCTGTCAGCGTCCAGAGTTTCTCGCCTTGTGTTTCATACCACTCGGCACGCAAATATGTCTCTGGCTGGTTCAGGTGGCGCTCAATAAGAACATAGACCATATTGGGGTAGTCGTGATTCTGTAAGCTAAATTGAGGATATTCTATCGCTCCCAATGTATCCTTGTATATCACGTGCTTGGTGATCTTTGAAAAGTTGTTTAGCTTCCAATTGAGATAGAGCACGTTAAAGGGGTAAAGATCCGACACTTCCATGTCCCGTTTCGCAAGATTCCAGGGGTTTCTCAGTTGAAATCTGAAGCCGTACTGCGCTAACTTGTCCTTTTTGATGCTCAGGACCGAATAATCATGATTAGGTGCAAGATTGAAGCGGCGACACTCCTCTGCGGAAAGATTGGAAGTCCCTAAACCTAGCACAAGATCTGCTGTACTGTGTTTTCGAGCAATATCTTCCATTTGGTCTCTAGTAAGATCGTCAATTTCCACATACTCGGGAACGTAGCCGGTAAGAATATATGTGTCGATGCCGATATTGGAACCCCTAAAGTCCGATAAATGGGACGCATTGTGGATCTGTAGGTATGCCTTTTCCACGATTGCCGGCCACAAAAGCTCTGGATTAGTCGAGCTTTTCACATATCGCGATTGATCGGCCGGAAGTGAAGAGTCTGTCCAAACCACTCTTCTACATCCATTAAATTCTAGCGTCAATGCAAATCTCGATGTCTTGGTATCAGTATGAACCAATGACAAGAGATCAAACCCATGGCTGGCCATTGTTATTAAGGACGACACAAAGGAGCAGTTTGCCAGTGATTCCTGATATAAATCCTCAATTCCATCTGTACTAAGATCAAGTGAGTTTGTTGAGCCTGGGGCAACGAAGACACCAATTTGTTCATCAAATGGGTAGTAGAAGCTATCTTGCTTTGAGAATATCCAGCACATCTTTTCGTCAGGAGTGAGGAACGGTCGGCCAGATTTGAGGTGATCGTAGAATCCCAAAAGCTTATTTCCCAGGCCTTTGACTTGCTCGGGCACGAAGCCAGAGTCTATCACGAGCTGAAATTGTTTGATCAAACTAAGACACTCTGTTTTGACTGGCTGTGATAGTGCATATCGATAAAGTAGTTCGTTGAGGTTCGTCTGTATTGCCTCTATTTTCGAATATACTTGATCCATATTTCAGGATTTATAGTTAATTTGTCCGGAATATTAAATTATCATTAAATTATCTATCAAATCTAAACTTCTCCTGCTCCAAATACAAGCTTCATGCCACGCTCCAAAAACCCCTTCTTTTCCTTTTTTGCAGCTTTTGGAACATTGATAAGGCCAGTCCCATCCTTGAGTTTGAACCTGCCGTCTTGACGTTCTTCTTGATTGCCGCCTTCAACAGCAAAAACGCTGGAAAGCTCTACCTCAGGTAACTTTTGGTCGCTCACAAGCTTAACCAACGACATAGAACATCCAACGTCTTGGCTGTCTGGGATAGATGACCCAAGCAATTTTTCTAAAGACGTTCTTGTGTAAGGGACAACTCCTATCACCGACCCAGATGCCCCTGGTTTATTGCTTTCACGCAAGGCACGCACTGCAGAAGCCGAATTGTCGTATGTGAATTTCACCCACTGCGGACCGATGAACACGGGGAAGCTTCTGCTTTGACTCGGAAACTTACGCTGGTTGAAATCTTCCAATATGGTACCGTATTTTGAAAACTGCTCGACGACCGAGGAGAACTGCGAATCATCATACCCATACACTATGACCGCAGTTTCTCTTATCGTTGGCTCCGCATCCTTCTCATTGTCGTTCAGTGAATCTACCTTACCAACGGAGAAGGGTAGATCCGGGTTTCCTGACTCGCTGGATCCAACAGGAACCCTGCTCCGCTGAACTCTGTTGAAGACGTTCTTGTAACTATTAGGGTCGGATTCAAACTTTCCAAAATCTGGATTGTTGATCAGTAGAACATTACTGGAGCTGTCATCATTATTCATGCGGTCGTAGAGTGACAGCTTTGGAGGAAGATCTTGGAAATCATCAATGGGTGTCGTCTCGTGGTCAGCAGCGATAGAGCCATCCGCAAACCGTTTTCTTTGGACTCCGGATTGAAACGGAAGGGCTGGCTGGTTTGAACTATCGGCGTCGTCGTTTGTTTCTCCCAGAAGTTTGCTTGTTCTTTTAACGAGAGTAGTTGGTATGCTTCTCTTCTTTGATCGTGCGCCCGCTCCCCCGATGAGTGATGTGTTACCCCCCGAGCTCAGCCACTCCGGCTCTTTGTAAAAATCTTCCTTAAGTTTGTATTTTGAAAAGCGCGACTCCCGTGAATCAGCAGTTGTTATTTGAGACATATTAATAAACAAAGTTTTCTAGGAAGTAAATTAAAAAAATACAATATGATAAAAACATGCATGTATAATATATTTTAATAAGGCTCACACAGTTGACGCTGCAACAATGACATCAAAACGTTTGTTTTTCTTGTTCGTTGACAAAGAACCACGAAATCTGTGAGTGCCCTCTTATTGCCATAAAGAAGATGAGAAACTGCAGTACGATGTTATCATTCGCATGTACAATGCGCGAGTTCTATTCAAATATGCTATAAAGGTAGCTGATTAAACTTCCGGCAAACGACCCTACGTAGGCACCTGTGAGCAAGGTAATTGGCCACTGTTGCCAGTCTCTATCCCAATCGAGCGGAATAGGAATGACACCCAACCAGCAACCCACTAGCGAGCCCATAGCCTGCAAGTAGACCTGATTTTTATAAAATGCTGGCACTTGAAACGTGAGCAATCGGATCCACGTGTCTCCTGCGTCTAAATCGGTGAGCTTGTAAACTAGAAGAAGCGGGAAGACTGTCAGAAACGACAGATGCAAAGCCATAAAAGCTGTTTCCTTTGTCAGGGATCCAATAGGAGCCCCGAAGACCAGCAAGATAACGAAGATTGGAATTGCGGCGAAGCAAGAAATTATAGATGAAATCACCAGGTACACGAGCTCGCCGCCGTTCGGGCCTCTATGTCTCTTTGCTTTCTTTTTGTTTTTGATTGTGGTTAGTGCTATTAGTCCGAAACCAAAATGAAGTGTCAAAACTGCAAGCGTTGACGAGTTCAGTGCTGGTATAACCTTGGAGCTTATATTGTAGTGATGAAATAAAGCATAGACGATTGCCAGAGAATGGAACGGAAGGAGCATGAAAGCGGGAGAGGGTTTCGGCAGCTCGTTAAGTTTAGGCTCCTCGTCAGCAAGATCGAAAGCTGACTCCGGGACAGGCGATCCCGGTTCTGTGCTGGGGTTGCGGTCGCTGAGAGACGGGCTGTTTCGAGAAAATGAAACGGTCTTTTTCACCTTTTTTCGTGCGGAGGACATGGACGTCAGTTGGAAAGGTTTATATCCAAAAGAAACTTTTTTGTTGGTACGTGCAGGTTCACACGTTAAAAATATATACAATTAAATCTATACAGACTATTTTTCAGGCAGCGAAGAATCGAGGTTGGTTTTCCTGGCAATAAAGTATTTTTCCAAGAAACTGAGCTCATCAAACTCTAGAACGTCTCCTGGCCTCTTGGCCACAATGGTCCACGTGGTGCCAAAATGGGATCGTTTTTCCTGCGTGATCTCCAACCCGGACGCGTCCACCAACTCTCCAATGTCGAGATTCCATCGACAGCCCCATGTTTCCGAATGTTTATGAGCCCTTCTATCAAGCTGCTTGTTAATAAAGTCGTACGACCCCCTTCCGTGCTCTAAGAGCACTATTCTTCCTCCAGGCTTGAGCAATTTCATCATATTCTGCAGGGCCTTCACCGGATCCTGGTGAGAGCACAGTCCGAAAGTTTCTATGATAGTGTCATATTTCACTTGCTTGTCTCCCTGAAGATCCAATAGATCTTCAGCTTTGCCAACAACAAACTTCACCTTTTTGAACGCAGGCCACTGTTCGGTGAACTTGTCGTAAGTCACACGCATCATCTTGGCAGAGGTATCCAGAAACGTGTAGGATTCTATTTTCGTAGGGTCCAAGTACTTGATGTTTCTTCCCGTTCCACACGCAACTTCCAAAACGTCTCCCTTGCAGTGGCTCATAAGCCATTTCCGCTTTGATCCCATGAACGACAACATCTCCTCGGTAGAAATTTCGCTGTCGTACTTCTCCGCAACGTTGTCATAGAATTCTGTCAAGTCCTTTGCAGGAAGAATGCATTCTTCGTAAGAGGTATCTAAGAGATGCTCAATTTCCTTAGGCGCCGGATTGAAGTAGTCTTCTGGCGAAGTATGTGTCTTCTTCCATTCCTCTCTGAGTTCGTGATATGCTTTCAATTTGGCCATATCCGACGTCCGAATCAGGTCCCCACTCAGCTCGCGTAATCTCAGCTTCTCCCATTCACTAAGCTCTGCACCAGAGTCTCTTTTCTCCAGCAGTTCCTTCTTCTCCACATCTCTCTCATACAGCTTGCGGAAATACCTTATGCCGTAAACGAAAAACACCAGATACAGCGCAAGGTAGTACTTGGTGGCCTTTCTATTAAACTCAAACGTGTCCACAATGGCACCATATTTTCTGATCCAGGAGCCTGAGTTGACGGCTTCTTCGTATTTCTTCTGTTCCTCCTCTGCTCTAAGCTGTTCAGGAGTTTTAACTTTTCTCGTCTTGAAGCGAAATTCGGGTTTGCCAGAGCTCCGAGCAGCAGTACGAGCAAAAGTAAGATCCACACGCGGAATTATGAGAGAGTTCCGACCAGGCATTTTGCCCCAAGGTCTCAGACTTCTCAAAAACATGGCCTCTGCAAAAGTCAAAATTTACCAGCTTTTTTTCTCATGGTTTTAAAAAAGTTCACCGTTAACTTGAAGCTCTTGTTTATCGATCTACTGTCATTTACAAAATTAAGAACGAATCTCAATTCCTTTCAGCTGGACCTTATACAGATTCATTACTGAAAACGCATTAAGCCTTCAAGGTTTGGTATCGACGTTCGAAACCATACAACAAGACCGACACGAAACACCGGGCACAATACTAAGAATACGTTGACCCAGTGTTCACTCTCAGCAATCGAGCATAATACGCGAACTGTGAACTGCACAATGGATCAGAATGGCGTTGACCAGATTGTGGGTTCTTTACAGGTAATTTACAACCCACGGTCCACTAACGAGCATCGCCACAAAGCTCAGGAGTTTTTAGAAAGCATTAAACAGATCCCCGAGTCGCCATACTGGGGCTACCTGCTGGCACTCCCAGACAATAAGTACGACTTCATTGTAAGACACTTTGGTCTGAGCTTGCTCTCGAATGCCATCAAAAAAGACTTTTCTCAATGGGACCTAGAAAAACAGGAAGCGGTCAGAAACTGGGTCATCGAACTGGCCATGAAGGTGGCGCCGACGGATCCTCACTACATGAAAGAAAAAATAGCGTTTCTGTGGGTCGAGATTGCCAAAAGGTGTTGGGGACTCTGTCTCTCAAAGGAAGAGGAAGAAATCGCGCTCAAAGATAAATCATATACAGACCATGAAAAGCTTCAAAGTTGGGCCTCCATGGACGCGAACCTGCTCAGGTTATGGGAGCACTCACTAATCACAAGAGAGCTCTCTCTGATTATATTTCGTGCGCTCTTTGAGGATGTCTACCTCCTTGATGATCCGGTGGTGTCACAGAGAAACAACGTACTCTCATCTTTGTGTCCAGAAGTGGTTACATCAGAGGAGATACTGCTACTCAAATACGAGCCAAACGAGTCTCTCCGGATCTTTGCTGCTTCGAGTCAAGGTTGGCTCCTTAGATGGTGCGCTCTTTTAGAGGAGTGTATTGATTACATGCTTAGCCATCCTCGATCGGACTCTGATGAAAACTACCGAAACTTTTCCAACCTGACAGTCAAGATATTACAGGTTTTCAAGACAAGCTTGTACTGGATCTTACCAATTGCATTCCGTGCGGCCGGTGTGCTTGAGAAGCTTAGCCGGTTGCTTGCAATTGATGACGTCGAAATAAAAACGCTTACTGTTGACTGCTTGCAAGTCTTATTCACAAGAGTATACTCCGAGGAGTCCGATTTCAACGAGATAATTGGGTCGATTTTCCAGACTGAAGGATTGGCAATGCTGTTCAAGGTGTTTAAAAGTATACAGCTGGACCCTGACGACGTCGATGAACAGAATTATACACTGCTAAAGAAACTAGTGGAAATGATTGTGGGCCTCAGCGAATACTTCCAGCTGTCTGACAATAACCTCAAATTTAAGCTTCCTGAATCTGCTGATGTCTTGAACTATTTTAAACTAGTTTTGGAAACCACAAAGCATCCCTCTCTGGTGATATCAGGTTTATCTCTACAGTTTTGGTGTTCAATGCTAAGAATAGATGAATTGAGCGACAAGCCAGATTTCGAACAAATAATGCCAGAACTCCTGGAGGTGACAGCCAGCAGACTGATCAACTACGCTGATTACGATGATGAGTGTGTTGAGAGAAAGATGTTGAGCATCGATTTTGAGAGTCAACCTGAGGCCACTACTTTTTTGAACAATTACAAAAAATTGAGTGACGACATTGTCCGGATTATCATATGCAAGAAGCCTGACGATGGGCTGCAGTGGCTCGCAAACAGACTGAACAAATTTTACTCATCTCCAGTGGGTATAAAATCGCTGAATGATCCAAAACTGGTTTACAAAGGCAAAAACTCTGAGCCCTTCATTTTTGGATATGCCCAGTTTGTCACCATTGAGGCTTGCGTGCGAGGAATCTCGAGGTGGCTTATATGGTGTCAGGACGACGACATGGAAACGAAAAAAGTTTATCTAATCAATCAAGTGGACGATCTCTGTAAAATGCTGCTCAGCATGACAGTGAAAGACCCAATGCTGCTAAGAAAACAGATTCAGACTTTGGTACAGTTCACGCCCCTCTTGAAAGATGTTTCAGGAACAATGTTCAAGGTTTTAGAGAAAGTCATGGAGTCTTGCACATTTGACTATCCTCCTGATGCTGGGGATGACGAACGAGAACTTATTCGTGATTTAAGGACAAGCGGCGGTACAGAGCTCAACAGGCTTGCGTATTTGATGCCTGAATCTCTGAAGGATATTCTCCCCGAGCTGGAGTCTGCCATTGCCGCGATTTTGAGTTCCAAGAAGCTTAGCGACCACGAAGCTGTGGCGTTCAAGTCTTTCCTCCTGGTGGTCTCACAGAGATCGTCCATTGACAACAAGGCACAGAGATTTGCCAATATAGTCGATCCAGAGCTTGTTGCGTGGTCCAATCCTGCGACTGAGAAAGGACTACTAGAGCTCCACTGGTTCATGGAGAGACTAGGTATTGTCAGAATTGCAGATTATTTCCAATCGAGAGGAATCATTGCAGACACAAACCTCCTGGAAGCGCAAATGGACGAGAGAGGACGAGCGCTGAAGAGCGAACTAAAGGATCATTGGTCGTCTGTTTTCCCAATTCGTGCGACAAGAATTTTTATTCAGTACAGTATCGAAAAGTTAGACCATCAGTCTGAAACTTACCAAGATTTGTTAAAGCTTTGGAAGCCAAGAATCAAGCCAATCTTGCCACACATTTTGCAGCTCATCTACCAGATCCAGGCATACCATAATCCTGCTAACTGGTCTGGCCTGCCGTCCGAGGTGCAATCCTTCGTTAAGTACAGCTGCATGGAGAGATTCTGGCAGCAAGGTGTGTCGATTCAATCAAAAGAATCGTTCATGGACGAGAGCGTCAAGGCTATGCACACACTAAGGGATTTTGCGGATAGCGTTGGGCACATCGTGAGGTATACGAGAGAATACGCCTATCTGACCATCAGCTCGATATCAGAGCTCGAGGAAACATTATACGAGATTCCAGACTGTGCCAATCTGTTGTGGAAAGCCCTCACCGGCGAGTCGGTGGGCATCACTCTTCATTCGTGGAGGCACATGATCAATCTTGTGATTCGCAACGTGATAAAGAACTGTCCCATCTCCTACCTGGACTCCTTCATGGTCCAGCTGTTGCCTCAGGTACTGAATACAATTGACTCGTTGCTTGTTTCCAAATGGGACGTTGTGTACCAGAAGGGACTGCAACTCGAAGGCAACGAGAGCGACGAGCAACTCAGCGAGGAGATGATGGAGGAACATATGCTCAGACAGCTCACGGCCGTTATCGACAGGATGCTCATTGATCTCGTTGGCCAACAAGCGCCGACAAGCTTGGTTGAAAGACAATTGAAGACCAGGGAGATTATTTTCAGGGATTTGAACTTGCTTGCACCTCTGTTGAATCTGCTGTGCCACATTATCAGCTTCAAGGACACAAGGTGCTCTTTTAATGCCATTTTGATAGTCAAACACATGATTCAAGATCTTGTTGCCCTGAATAACGACGACGTGGACAAGTATCTGTCGGAGCACGTGATTGAGACGCTCTTGTCTGTGCTCGTTGATAAGTTTTACGCCGACGCACACCCGGAGGCTGCCTACACCTTGACACTGCTTTACATGGGTTTGAGGTTTAAGTCATCATATCCCGCAATGATTCTCCAGAAGTGCCTCAATTTAAGCAACAAGGAAATGGCCGACTTTGAGCTGCTTCTGATGAATTGCAAGAAGCTCAGGGAAAGAAGAAACTGTTTACTCCAGCTGGTCGAGAATGCAAGCGATCAGGGAAACAACGACGAAGAACAGAAATTGAGAGATCGCAAAAAGCAGGTAGAGACGGCTCAGCAACGAAGAAGCAAGAAAGGAGTCGCAGAGGACGTTATGGACGATCCTCTCACAGAGAAGACACTAAACAACATGTTTGCAGAGGAAGTAGAGTAATTGAAGCGATATATACCTTGTTAACTTACTGTTCGTGCGAAGCCTTCCATATGTCGTTCAGGGTGTACACGGCATTTCTCTCGAGCTCTTCGTTCCAGTTGGGGTATATTTTTTTTAGGAAATCGATAAAACTATCTTGGTCTAGTTCTGCCATTGTGCGACGTCCTATTGAGTAGATGATCATGTTGTCGTCGGAGCTTCTGCTGGCGGAAGTGATGCGTCGCTGGGTTTTTGAGTTTGTCTGTGTCACGTCGAGCTGATTCAGATACTCCTGTTTGACCATGAGAAGCAAGAAATCCGGTATCGTTGTGCCGAGCAGCTCCACGGGCTTTGTTTCGCTGAAGTTAAGTTGGAATTTAGTTTGCAAGATGTTGAGGAGGTCTTGCTTGTTGACATTATTTTCGTTGAGCAGAATGATGGCTATTATCAGCATCTTGAATCCCTGAGCTATCAAGTCAGACACTGGCTTGGGCAGATTGGCCCCTATTTTGTAAAGAGCAGAGGAATTGGAGGACGGTTCCTTGAGATCCGACAACGAGGCAATTGGGCGTGATTGTGTCTGGAAGTACGTGTAGATCTCGTCCTTTAGCGGCAACGGAAGCTTGCTCACCAGCATATAATCGTCGGAGGACGCATTCTTTGTGTCTTGTCTGGGTGGAAATTCCACAAGCCCCATCCCAAAAACACGCTCCAGCGTCTCCCTGATGTTGGGCAGAAGGTCTTTCTTGAATTGTATACCGTGCCCTTTTTCTCCCTCAACCTCCATTATTTTTGCTATCAGACCCTTATTCAGAACCTGGTATTTGCTTTCTATTGATAGTAGGGAACGAACAAATGCCTTAGTTAGCTTCTGGATGCGTTGTTGCTTCACAGAAGCCTTGGACGAAGTAACGGAACGGTTTTGAGGACCAGTCTCGTCAGAGCCATCGCTCGAGACGGGCTCGTCCGACTCATTGGAGTGCGACGACTGGACCCGTCTTGACTTGCGCGCAGGTTCCACGTAGTTGTCGTCCTCTTCGTACGCGTCGAAACTGTTCCTTCTCCTGGCCATGCCTATCGATCAGAGATAAACTTTTTCGGGTCGATCGTCCTTCTCAGTTATCATTGTTAGTGTTTCATGTCTAGTATCGCTGACCCCTACGGCGGGCCCAATGAGCACCACCAGTCCAGACGGACGCGAAGGATTGTGTCGCTGGTGTTTTCGTGCCTCGTTGCCATGGCTTCGGGTACCCCTTACCTCTTCGGCATCTACTCCCCCCAGGTGATGTCCAGGTGCCATTTCACCGCGGAGGATGCCAGCTTTCTGACGTTCGGCTCCACGTTGGGTTCCTCGATTGGCGGCCTGGCCGCTGGGCTGCTGATAGACAAGTTTGGGCCCAAATTTGCTATCCTTTTGGGGGCCATACTGGAGTCCGGTGCATTTGTGATTCTGTACCTGACTTACAAATTCCAGCTCCACTATCTTTGGCTCCTGGTGATCGCCATGGTGAATGTTGGCTTCGGCTCGGTGCTCCCTTATTTTGCAACGCTGAAGGTAGCCACAGTCAATTTCCCCAAGCACAAGGGCATGGCGAACGCTTGTCCCGTCTCAGCGTACGGTCTGGCTGCCCTGATGTACGCTTCCATATCCACGGTATTCTACGCAGGCAACACGCAGGGCCTTCTCAAGTTCATTGCGATATTCTCCGGCGTGGTCATTGGCGTGGGACTCTTCTTTATAGACATCTACGAGCCGGACGAAAGCGCTCGGGACGCCGAAGACGAGCCGTCCGGAATCAAGTACCTGCTCAAGGGCCATCGCGGCTCGTTTGCACAGTTGAATTTGATGCGACGGAGCTCTAACTCATCATTGTTCTCGTCGACCTCGGAGATCTCCTCGCTGTCTGTGTCCACAACGTCTTCTGGGGCCTCTACCATCACTAATAAGCCGATATCGATCGCCAGTGTGCAAAATAAGTCTCCATACTCGTCGCGGCCAAGCAGCTACTCGCCGATATCATCTTCACCAGTGGATTTCAAAACACGACAGTCGCTGGCTCGTGCAAATTCCTACAGACTAGGCTCCTCATTGAGCAATTCGCCCAGAAACCCTGGATGGCTGGGAAACGCGTCTAAAAAAAATGTCAAGGAAGAGGCCGTGGTTGACGAAGACTCGCCTCTCAATCCCGGCAGCGATTCGTACAGTGCCTCAGTGCTGAGTCTGGCTCCAAGTCAGCAATCGGAAGCTCTCGAGACAACCCCTGCAGACGAGCTAGCAGAGGCTCTCAAACGGAAAAAAGCCACGCACCGCACTAGTAAGGAGCACATCCAGTGGCTCTTTAAGAACAGAACGTTTCTCTGCCATTACGTCCTGAACGCACTGTTCTGTGGTAGCGGCCAAGTGTACATTTACGGGGTTGGCTACGTTGTCAAGGCTCAGATGAATAAAAATCCCAACTTAACCGGCGATCAGATCTCGTCGTACCAGGCGCTCCAGGTTTCCATTATATCGCTGTGCAATTTCCTGGGTCGGATCCTTGGAGGCATTTTCAGCGACTATCTCCACAAGAACATGAATGCACAGAGACTTTGGGTGATTGTGATTTCCGTGGTCTGCGGGATCTTGGGAAACAGCACGCTGCTCCTGTTTGACAACGCTCGTTTCCTCTGCCTCAGCTCGACCTGCTTCGGTATCAGCTACGGTGCAATCTACGGGGCCATGCCTGCGATTGTAGCCGACAACTTCGGAGCCAGACATTTTGCCACCTCATGGTCTGTCATTGGAACGGGCTCTGTGGTGGCTTTCCTGTTGCTGAGTGACTATTTCGGCAAAAACTATGACAAACATAGCCAGTATCTAGAGGACGCAGATGGCAAGCTTGTGCGGATGTGTTTGAAGGGTAACCGCTGCTACGAGAACGTCTTTGGCATAAACCTTATCATTGGCTGTCTTTTGCTGGTGAGCTACTGCTCTATGATATACTGTGCGAGAAAGAAATAATATTCAGTTAATCTACTCCATACACCTAAAGATTTTATTTATGTTTAGACCCACACGGCACCGTCAGATATCGCTCAAGTCGATTCTCGCTTCCTTCAAGCGGATCCGGAAGACTGAAGAGGTTAATGAGCCGCTCAAGGAAATCCCGAGTTCTACTGGCTCGGGCGCATCTGTGGAACCGGTGGACTTCGAAGTCCTGGGCATGACTTCGAGCATGTTAAACATCAAACTGCCGAATGCTTCGATTATCAACCTCCGCTACAGCAACGCAAACCAGTCGGTGATAGCATTGAACGGCAAAGTCACGTCCTTGGCGGTGGAACTGGGAAAACTCGAAGGAGGCCTGATTTTTCAGCGATGCTTCAACACCTCTGGGCCAATGTCGATCTTGATGGCCAACAAGCTGCAAAACTCCAACTTTACGGTAGTCAATGTGTCAAAGGACACAATTTGGATAGTGGATAGAGACAGCTTAGTGGCTTGGACTGGGAACTACATTGATTTGACAGGAGAGAGAAAACTGGTGAAAGTGGTAGGATCCGGCAAGATCGTGCTGAGCTCACCAGGGCAAACACTTCAGATGACCCTCCAGGACGGAGAGACCGTGAGCGTGAACCCCTCGACCGTCGTTGCATACACGGGAGAGACCCCGGTCGGACCTCGAAGCATAGTCGACTTTGCTGTTCCGGGGATATCTTGGCTCACAAAAGTGTGTGGATCGTGGGCTTCATTTACATCGTACGTTCGCGACAAGTTCCAGATCCAAAAGCCGCAGATCAAGGTCCATCCATGGATAAGCAGTGCCTTCTCGCAGACAGCAGGTTTCGCTAGAAGAGTAGTAAACCGGCTGGTGACTGGCAATCCTGACTATATGATTGAATTTTCTGGCCCACGGACCGTGCTGATCAGCGATGGAGTCCACTTCAAGGACAAAATCATGACCAAGGAGCAAATAGAAAAATTGAAAAAAAACTAGACTAAATAGATTTTACTCACAATATCATGTCTCGAGTTATACCTCGACTGGCACGTTTGCGCACACGACCCTCACTTAGTGAGTACCACGAGGTTGAGACAAGACTTAGAAGCTCGCACTGGGAACTCTTCGACGACTCGATATCTGCCTATCCGGCAAAACAACTGTATGCCACTTTGCAATCAATAATCGATCCTACTACTCGATTTATGAGTACCAACATGGAAAGCCTGAACAAGCGCTTTTGCAAAGGGAAGACGGTTCCATACGGATACTCCATGATCTACTGTAACCCCGTCTCTGGAGAGAACGAGCTAGGATTCGACGGTTTCGACAACTACCATGCTCCGTGCACTGCAGATAAAGACTTCTTTCATAGGCGGATGTGGGTTGCAGGCGGTTTTCAATTCAATCCAGAAAGGCCCCTGAAGTTTGGAGATGAAGTTAGTTTTACCGAGACCGTGGATAAAATGAGACAGTACAAGAGACTAGAGCAAATCGGAGTGGACTACAAACGCGAGTACAAAGTGGACAATGTGTGGTCAGTTATTGAGACCAGGAAACTTTACTACATACAGAAGACCTACACAGAGGAAAGATATCACCTTGTTGAGGATTCCGAGCCGGATCACACCGCCGTAATCGTTCCCTCTACAGTGTCCATCTTCCGCTCCAGTGCATTAATGTTTAATTCTCATCTAGTTCATTACAACCCAATTTATGGCTCTCGATACGAGGACTATCCTTCAATAATTGTTTCGGGACCATTGCTGGTTCAGTTGATGCTCCATTTTTGGCAGCAGCACAATCCAGATGCCATAGCACTGTCACTAAAGTACAAAATCATCAACCCATCATTTGCCAATGAGAGAATTGACCTGTGCATTGGAAAAACGTCCAAACACAGACACAGGCTCTGGGCAAACAGCAGAGATGGTGATCTCTGTTTTGTGGCCGATCTAATTATTGCATAAGCTTATTCAAAGCTATTTCGCGGTCTCTCCATCTCTGCCATTTACGCGGACTCTTTCTGTCTAAGTCGCAAAGCAGTGCTTTTGAGGAATCCAAATCTATAAAAATGGTGACGTCGCGCAACGTCATGGTTTCACAAAGTTGATCGTCAACATCCACCTCGCTTGTCAGAGATATTAGTTTCTGATGAACATTTGGATAACGAGCCTGCATCGAAGCAAGGGTCTGAAACAAGAGGATGTTTGCTTGAATCGCGTCCTCAATTGACAAAGACGGATACCCCCTGTCCTGAGCCTCGCGTTCGACCGCTTCACACCATTTACGTATCCCGTCTTTGCTTAAAAGTTGTAACGAACATGCAATGAAATTTTCGCCTTTAGAGATTAAATGTGCACAGTTTCGACATATCCGACCAGAACCAGGTTCCAGCCATTTTGGCTTCAATTCGAGAAGTCGGCGAGCCCCCAAGTTGAGAATGATGTGCTTATTAAGAGTGATATGTCGCCAATCGGACTCCTTGAAAACGTTCTCCATGAGCAGACCATTTGTATCCGGCTCAAGTTTCAGGTCATCTCTTTCGAGTTTTTGGATCGCCCCTGGCTTCAGCTCAACGAGTCTTGTAGGAACAATCCATCTTTCAAGCGCAGAGAATTGATGCATGTACTCATATATTTCTTGTGTTGTGTATTCCTGGCCAGCCAGTCGAAGCCTGAGGACCGTACCCGCAAGTTCGGGGTCCTTTCCTTCAAATCGAAACACCGCGTTAGCAGCTCCTCTACGAAAGAAGGAAAAAGAATCAAGCTCCATACTTTACATTCATTAGTTATTACACACAGCCTGAAAAATAAATTGATCTATTGCAGAGATATTATATCTTTGTACACCTCGACGTATGAGTTTTTGCCCAATTTTTGCATGATCTGCTTTTTCCTGTCGTTGTTGAATCCAATAAACCGATGAAACATATTGAGCTCAATAAACGGTCTTTTGATGGAGGCCATCAGCTCTGTCAGACCTCCAATCGCGTTGGATTTGGGATTCAGACCTAGCCAATGCAGCTCCTTATCATACAGATAATTCTGAATAGAATACAGCCTTCTGTATTGATACTCGTTGACCGGCATAACCTTGTAGAACGAGCCGTCAATATTGCTAGCAATGATCTCATAGCCCAAATCGTCATCGTGATTCAACGTGCCCACCATTGAAAATAAGGACCTATCTCTTGCGACCGAGATCATCTTTGTCGTAAGCGCGTTGGAACGTAGCAGCGACCGGCGCAAAAGCTTTAGACCTTTCATGGAATTTCCATCGTAAGGGTCGTATTGTAGTAAATGGAGCACAGAATCCTCGTCTGCCACCAAAATATGCAGGTTTCCATCGTGCACCAAAAAGTCTGCAGCTCGCAGTTCAACATCCTGCTCGTCCTTTCCAAAATGCAACATTCTGTACGGGGTAGCATCAAAGCCATAAAGCGAAACACTCTGGAATGTGTCTCCTATGAGAACTAGGTTCTTAAAAGTCTTGACCTCCTTCGAATATATGGACGTGTCGGTAAAGGCAACGGGAGCCACATTGTCGTCCTTCTGCAAAGTACGGACAAGCATTCTTTGCCCTTGGACAATCGCAAAACGGCCGCTCACGTCGCAAATGGAGAGAACAGGACCTCTTGCCGTCTCCGATGTGATCATCTTCAATCTATTCTTTGCCTCTGGTCTTCCAGGCTCCGGAACAATATCGATCACCTCGTATATCTTCCAAGATCCATGTGTAGCAAGATCCTCGTTTCTGCATCTTGCTGTTCCGATCAAGACCACAGTTTTGGTGGCAATGGTCTCGGACACCTTCAGTTCGATCACCTCAATCGATGTCACATATTCATTATCCTCAAGTTCAATGGTATCGATGATTGTCCAATTGGCAGGTGAAACCAGGTGAACAGTGCCCTTCAGAGACGTCGACTTCAGCTTTCTGTCATCACGCAGCCCTGGAAGCGGCTCTCCGTCCTCATCGACGGCGTTGTATCGACCTTCCTCCAAAGTGGAGATGATATAAGTATTTGAAAGGGAGTGGTATTTAACCTTATTGATCGTCTTGTCCCCAATCCTATACTTGGCTATCGGCAACCTGTTCGAATATGTGTAACTGCTATCTAATTGGCATATACGACATGCTTTCGTTTCGTCGATCGAGATCACACCGTTCGGACATCTATCAGTGTTGTATTCGGCGAAATAAAGCGAGGATCTTTTCGTGAATTGTAACATCCGCGGAATACTGTTGTGCTCTTTGAGTATCACAAACGCGCTTGCTCCAGTTACTAAAACGACTTTGTACCCTTGGAAGTTGTCCACGCTGATGAGGTATCTTTCAATCTTCGTCGCGTGAGCATAAGAGTTGTCTGGAGCACCAACAATCGGAAACTGACACATCTCGTTGATCTTCATCAGCTTGTATGTTCTTTCTATAGGATCGAAGAATGTTTCGTAGATGAGGACCTCCCCCCCAAAAGTTAGCGCAACGAGGTAATCCTTAGAGCTGGAGCTGTTGCCGAGTTTCGTAAACATGATTTGCTTGATAATGGGATCCACATCTGCCTCGTAATTGACATCCATAGGATTTAGAGTCAAAAGCTCTGGAAACTTGTGAATATCCGTGAACTCGAACACTTTCTCCTTGTGGTCCTTCTGGAATACCAGTAATCGGTTATCCGCTGTCACAAGCCAGAAAAGGATTTCGCCCTTGCTATTCTCTGTTCCGCTCACAGGCGCACCTTCAGAGTCTCTTTTGACAGCACCACTACCCATATGGTTCAGCAAAGAGGACTCACATATCCACCCATTGGTGAAAATCAAGTAGTTCAGCAGTGCCGGTAGATCAAGCTTTTCAAGCTTGTCGCCTTTGAACTCTAGAATATCCAGCTCACCGCTCTTCATAGTCACAACAATGTAATTGCCGTAGATGAAAGTGGAATTGATCTCAAAGTCATATTCTAGGGCAACGACCTCTTGGAACTTGAACGTGAAAACAGTCACTTTGTAGGGCGTCACCTGAACAATCCGGTTCTCAGCATCCGTGGTGATCGTACCAAACTGAAGAGTGTACTGTTTATTGTTGAAATCCTTGGAATAAAGATTCTTGTAATTTTTATTCACTTGGAACACTTCTGTCTTGAAATTCGTGAAATCGGTTGTGATCAGATATCTAGTGAAGCCGCTCTTGTTCGCCAAAGTCCACACCTTGTCGACATTGGAGAACTTCAATGTCGACTTCACAATGGGCTTGATGGTTGGAGAATAAACACATGCACAGCTGTTCCGACCCACTCCACAAGCGCCGACAAGAACATCTTCATTATAATTCGGGTTTGGGAGCCCCATGATTTTCTGCTCGATAGAGACTCTACCTAGAGTAAAGTCGACCAGAGGCCCACAGTTGAGTATACTATCCATTATTTTGAATTGCGAGTTGGTCAGGGAGCTCTTGTGGCCTTTTTGATCTTCCTCATCGTAGAGCCAGTCGTCCTCATCCTTCGTCTCTTTTTTGCCACCATTTTGGGCTTTAGTTTCCTGAGGAAGCACGCCACCCTTACTGCTAATCCTGATCAATGAAGAGTCGCCTCCTTGACAACAAACAAAAAAGAGGTCTAATGAGGGAACGCTGGTGATCATGATTGGATGATTAACAATTACACCTTTGTAGTTTGCAGTGTCAACTTTCTGGAGACCAGTGATCGTGGAGTTGCCACCAATCTTTTCAAAATTCAGCTCATAAAACTCTCCAGACTCAGTTATTATCAAAACCTGATCCTTTTTCACGAGTCCAACACGGGAATTTTCTAGCATCAAATCAAGCGATGACTGATCTTTGAGCTTCAAATTTGAGATGTCTGTGAAATACTCGTTTGTATAAACACCTCTGACGGACCCTAGGGAATTAACATGAATGATCTCGTTCGACCCTACCAGTAGAAATCCGTTCGTGGGACTTTCTAGCGGATATATATAGTCAATGTCGTAAGGAAGGCTAGTAAGCTCCATGATGGTGGAGGCTTTTTTATTTTCGAGATCCAAAGACAGAACGATTACTTTCAGCGTATCTTTGGCCTTGGGGAGGTGTCCAGCCCATGTCATTGTCTCTGGTGCATACAAAATAGCCATTGTGGGATCCCTATAGGAATGCAAAAACTGATAATCCACAATGTTCTTGATATCTGGATATAGAGAAGAGGCATTCAAGATAAAGCTCTCCGTAAAAAGCTTCTTTCTTTTTTTCGCGTCCTTAGCTTCTTCTGCATCATCTTTCAGTTCTTCTTCCTCCAGGTACTCTTTATAGAATGGAAGAAAAGTGAACAGCTCGTTCAGTCGTAAACATGTGCATAATGAGTTAGGGTCACTTCTATGTTGAATACTAGTTTTCTCGAGTTTTTCCACCGTTAATGCATCCAGCGCTGTATCATAGTAGTGTAAACTGACTGTAGAGATGGCATGCAACTGGGGATCCCATTTGATAACAGATAATTTTGCAAATTTCGTGGAAACAATTAGGTAGTCCAGCAACTCGTTCTCGTTGGACCTGAACTTGTCTATATTGATTATCTGTCCGTTCAATCTGTACTCTCCAATAAGCAGGAGCTTATATCTAAGCTCCTGTATCAAATTGGTCATCAGTGTGTCTCCCAAGAACGACTCAGATTCACCAAGCATCTGGTTTATTTCGCTGTCTCCTTCGTCGTCGTCGCCGTCCTGCAATTCGAGTTCAACGATTTCAAAAATCTGAAGCATGTTGCCTTTGGACACAACCAAATTGTGGCTTTTGGGAGATACAAAGTTGCAATAAGTCGAGCCCAAGCATGTTGTGGGGTCGACGAATTGGTGAAAAGTATTCATATTTCAGTTAAAAAATAAAATAAAATTCTGAACAAATCTATATTTATGCGGTAGCATTTTTCTTAATTGGCTCTCTCGGTTTTCCAGCCGTATGTTGTAGCAAGCCTCTTTGCCAAATGCTCACCAGCAGTTAAGGAAACTCCGTGCTTGGCAAGATAGTGAGCAGCCCCACGTCCAGAGATAGAAGAGACTTTCTCGGAAGGAACTGGCTCCAATAGGGTATCGTCAGCAGGATGGACGAAAAGGACAATAGAATATCGTGGCTTCCCTTCCAGCAATAACTTGCGAGGAAACCTAACTCTGTGCACCGTGCTTTTCAGGAGGCCATTCGTCCAGTAGCACAGCTGATCTGCAATGTTAACGATCAATGGAGGAGCCTCGCCGAGCTTTTGATATTTTGGAGAGGCTGGGACAAATGGAACCGCTTCCCACTTCCGGCTCAAGGGCGACAGGATTTCGAGGCCGTCCTCGTCCTGTCTCTGCAACAGCAATGTGACACATCCGTAGTCCGTATGGGCTCCTGCAACATTGATTTCCCCACAAGACTCAAGGTCTTTTTCGGTCATTCCCGTCTTCACGGGAGATGGATAGTGTAAGAACCTAAAGGTGGTGCCGCTAGGCCTGGTGGGATCATGACGACTGGTAAACCAATCGACACCACCTTCGGTCTCATCAATCTTGAGCCCCATGGCCATTAAGCGCAGCATACTAAAGAGAGATTCGCGGAGTTTATTCAAGGTTGTTTGGATGATCTTTTTGTTTTCTGGGTCTCTGAAAATCGCGGGAATCTCGTCACTGGTAAGTTCACCATTACTCATATCAACCTTCGCAAAATTGAACGCCTCTTTGGGATCACCAATAGGTTTTCCCAAATCGTCCTCTTCGAGATTCTCAACACCGATTCCAGTGTATCCATGGTTGGACTCGTCGATCTTATATTTTTGTTTCTCCTCGAATGGAAGTTGGAAAAAATCTCTAGATAAGCCAAAAAGCTGATCAACTTGTTCTTGGGTGAGCCCGTGCCCTTCAACCATCAGGAAACCCTGTGTAGAGGCAGCATGGATAAGTTTGTCAGCAGTTTGTTGGTTGATATCACTGATATCCACTATTTCCAGAGGATTCTCAACAGTAGTCATGGTGACAGGTTATAATATTAAAGGTCGAGATAATTAATTTTTTTTCGCTGATAATCAAACGATTTCTTACAGGTCAAATATTTTTATAGAAGAAATTAAAATGAACAGAGACTTATACATTGGATATATACGTCACCTAGGGTCAAATTCGCAGCAGCTTTATTTCTTAGCAGCCTTTTGAGCAGCCTTGGTGACCTTTCCGGCACCAGCAGCGGTCTTCTCAACAGATTTAATGACACCGACAGCAACGGTTTGTCTCATATCTCTGACGGCAAATCTTCCCAATGGTGGGTACTCAGTGAAGGTCTCAACACACATTGGCTTAGA